TTTCTCTTCCCCTTTCACAGGATGTTTTTAAGCTGTTTGGTATTCCTTTGAAGACTACAGCAGTAGTTTACGTACTGGATATTTATCACTGGTGTGGAGGGTGAAACACTAACTCTACACCGTAGTCCCTGCCCTTTTAAAATATTAATTGATTAGTAACCATCTATGGAGCCTCATAAAGTATTAACTCTTTAAGTGGAGAAGATCTCTGCTTAACAGCACAGCACAAATCCTACGTGATTTAAATCCCACACAATCCTGTTAAAATCCAAAGAGTTTCAAGGTGTTTGCATTAGTTAAATATCTAATGTTAACATCAGGTTTTGAAACCTCATGGAAACAGTATTGCTCTATTGGTCCAGCAGGACAGAAATGTAAGTTCAAGCTTCTTGATTGATGCAGGAATATTCATAAATGAAGTCTACATCTTGAGCGTTAATGCTTAATGCTTTTGTTGGCTTTCTACTCTTCAGCAACTTCCATTTTATGTGCTGCTTACCAGATTATCTCATATTTGAACAATCGTGCTACATATCTTGAGTTGTTATACCTAAATTTGAAGACAATGGTCTGCATTTTCCTGAACATCAACCACTAGATAGTCAGTGTATGGAAGGGTCAGAGACTAACTCATTTATTTTGTGAAACACCTAGTCTAGATGCCATATTTGTTTGGAAATCCAATTTATCTTTTTTCCCCTGATTTTTTAGCTATTCAGCTTACCTAACCCACCTTGCTGTAAACAATTTATCAAGCCCATGAGTTTGTGGTTCAGAGAAAAATTCTGAATCACTGCAAAGATGCATGACTGCAGTACCTCACAATTATGGTGGGATTTTATAAAATAAAATAGATGGACATGGGCAAAGCTATGCAAAAAAATTGGTTTTCACAGAAATCTACTGCTATCCATAAAAAAGTAACTTTTAACATGACAGATTGCCTGCAATGGCAGGGGCAGGACTTGATAGCCCTTTCGAGGTATATGAGAAAACCTGAAAAATGTTTAACATACTTGACATGGAGCATTAATATCTTGAAGATCAGCAGTGCTAATAAACCCTACTGGTCGTAGTTCAAACATAGTAGGTGCTCAGGCCTCCCCTAAAACTTAGAAATGGTAAGGGAATTTTCAGATATACTCTATTGGCTATGAATAACCCCAGCCACTATTCACAGTGGAGCAATAAAGACTTGACTCACACCTAAAGAAACCAACATATGGGCTTTTTCCTCTTCATATAGTAATGTCAATTAAATAAAAGAAGGGTAAAGTTAACAGTTATGTGCCAACTCTGTTAAAACATAAAGAAATAATCCCATGTGTAGGACTCTTCTTTAGACACATATTTTAGATTTAGACACAAATTTTAGTTTTCTTTACCAAGTTCCAAGATAGATTTACATAAGGGACATCAGAAATATGATCTCTGATTGGTGCCACTAGATTTCTGCTTATATTGCTAAGTGAGTGGTTGAACAAGTGTTCGGTGTGTCTTTAACTGGTACCACAATGAAGAAAGTTTCCATCAGGAATTAGAAGCTAATGACTGCCTCCCTTGCTGAGCTATAAATCTACAAAGGTCTTTGGCAAACTGATAATTTACCTTATTGGAAACAAGCTGTAAAGGACCCAAACAGGTGGGAGCCATAACTACAAACATATGAATGTAATAAAATTAGCAATTATATGTATTTGAATAGTACCCCCTAAATTTATTCTCCTACTAAGCTTTAAGTATCCACTCAAGTCACACTTAAGTGTGAAGTAAATGTTTTTAAGAGTCAATAAATTAATTTAATAAATTAAATATTAGTTTTGAAACATCCTTAGCTATTCAAGCTGTAGGGTTTTTAGCACAGTAACAGCATATATAGTGCTACAGGATGGCTCAGTACAGCATGTCTGCTAGTCTTCAGACACCTTTTTGAACAGTGAGCGAGTACACTGGAGGTATTATATGTAAAGTACCTGAGGGCACACAGTCCAAAAGACTCAGTCATGTTATGTAGCAGTGTCTATACTATAAGGTAAACATGTACTTAGAATATGCAAATGGGTTTGCTCTTATGACCCAGGAAAGTATATTTGAATTTCCCCATTCTAAGCAGTTGTTCAGGTGTTACAGTGCTCATCAGGAGGAGGATATGCAGGAGAGCACAGTCAGCAGCAGGTGTGCTCACCTGCAACAATTTCTTAATCCATAGGAGAAGGTGGTGAGAGGCTTTAGTACGTGTTTAAGAGTGAGCTGCTTTTCTATGACAGAGGTGTGTGACTAACATATGAGAGTCACCCTTCCAAATTTCAGCTACTTGATAGTAGCCAGAAGTTCTGTGTCTCAAACTCACACCAGTCAGAAATTGGGGTATCTCCTTCCTGTCATCTTCTGAGTACAGTCTAGAGGGTGCTAGATGAAACTCTTTTCGGGAGTTTGGTACTACAAGAGACTATCTGCCACAGTTGTCTGTGATTACATTGGACTGGAAGCAAGCTTGCTGCTATTAGTTCTACATCATTTTTTCAAAATTGCTTTTCTGCTGAAGTGTTTTCAAAATGCATTTTGAAGGTTGTTATTATCCATGTTGTTTCTGTTCCCATATTTGGAGGCATAATAGTGTTGTGCTACAGAAACAAGTCATTGTGGGGTAATTAAATACTGCACAAACTGTTCTGCAATAAATGCAGCAGGCCTGAACTTGTTAACCTAGGTAGCAGAGAGTACCTGAAAAAAGCTTAGTTTTCTGTGAACGACAGGATAGCTCCCTCAGCAGGGGACACCACAGAATAAAAGCACTGACTTATGCCTCTATCAGTCTCTAGTTTTTGAAGTATATAAATTCTCTTAAAAAATAAAAAATAAAATCACAGAATTTTTCTATCCTGCTCTTTAGTTGGACCAAAAGAAGAAACCTTATTACCTCAGTAATCAGAAGATTCTTTTGACTCCATCTACTAAAATGACAATACAGCATGTTATCTGATCATATCTGCAGCTCTAAAATGTGAATACACAGATTATTTGCTTACTAAAAGTATCTGTATGCAAGTAATGGCATCAACTGCACGGTCATAGCTTTTGTCTATTCCAGTGTACCACTTCAAATGCTTACAAGACTGAAAATAATAATAATAATAATAATTATGTTTGAGTATAAACTATTTTGTAGCCTATTTGTTCACTGGCCAGATGTGCCTTAATCCTGTTGTCATCCTTGGAAACACATAGGTGTGCAAAAAGCAAGAAGGAAACCTCAGTGCAGCTCTTCACTTTCTCTCAGTTTTGGATCCACGCCAGTCAGTTTGTTTTGGGAACAAAATTCTGTGATCTAGTGGGCAAGTCCCTCTGGCATCATTGTTATCAAGTGGCACATGGAGCTCCTTAACCATTCAGGCACTGAGAGAGGACTATAGCTGGTAACACACAGAGCGCACAGCCCACCAGACTCTGTGCACAGCCCAGCGCACTTGGGGAGCTGGTGCTGGCAGTGCTCTGAAAGCTGCAGTTACTTTTGGGACCTCACTGGGGGCTGAACTTCCCACTGTCCAAATAACAATTCAGCAATTCCAGAGAAGTGATCTCAGGGGGTGGGATTTATGTACCCATCAACCATATCCTTTTGGAGCCTGTGGTTAAACCAATTACCCATTTAATTTTCATTTCCCATTAACCAGGAAGACTCTGACATTGTCCCAGTAGTGCTGAATTGTATAGTGAATATTGTATGCTATTGCTACTGGAAGAGCTCTTTTCTACTGAAGAGGTTGTGTTACATAGGGAATACCTCAGTTCTTTCCTTGAAGAATAGCATCTAAATAAATATATTCAAAAAAAATCCAAAGCCCACGTCAGAACTCTACCCACACAGACAGATAATTTTGATTCACTCTCCAGAAATCTAGCTATAATTACAGAATAATGTACCAATCTTTCTATGTTAGACCCAGTCAGTCACTGCTTTTAAATTCTGACCAGCACAAACCTTCCCTGTGAAGCAGCTGTTTTGCTCTCACAGTACCTTCTAAGGCTCTACCCACCTATAAGCTGCTAGTGACAAGGACCTCCCTATTTTTACATGTGTACATAGCACACAGCATCACTGTGAAGTTCACAGAAAGATCTGTGAGGTGCTACCATGGTATCAATTGTAAGTCAGTAATAGAGGATCAGTAAAAGCACATCATCCAAGTAAGCTGCAAAGAACTTTCATTATGTAATGTTACTACTTTATCCTTTACCTCTCTCTCTTCCAAGTAATATGCTGGCAGTCAGAAAAACTTACAATATAAAACTCAATTAAAAATTCAGAGGCTATGCCATTTGAACTGAAAGTTGGTTTTCAGTAAGGTAAATTGAACCACAGTAAAAAAATTCATAAACCAAAGAAAGGCTGTGGAAAAAAAAATCCTTTTCTGGGTAGTGCATATAAGGTTCATTGTGATAAAACTGTCACATCCTGTTTCAACTGCTGCCTTATTAAACAGTGAAAGTTCATTGATGAGTCTGCCAGAGAAGGTAAGTCAGGTGAAACACCCCAAGCCCCCATACAGAATTCTCTTCTCTGAACCTTTAAGAAAAATCAATTTTTCCAACCAAACCCTGTAAGAGATCTGATGCTTGGTGTGAAAATAGCTAACAACATCCATCGGCAGTGATCACCTCCCTGAGCCCCATCATTACTCCAGGACCTTACTGTAATATGGAGTAGGAAACACAAGCAGAAGTCCCCAAACCCAAACATCTGAAATATGGAGTAGGAAACACAAGCAGAAGTCCCCAAACCCAAACATCTGAAAAGGCAGGTATTTTCCCAGTTCAGACTCCTGAGGTGACAGGGGGAATTCAGAAGTAGGAGTGTCAGAGCAGGCATCGCAGTCAGAGGTGGCTCTTAGCACTCTACCGCTGGGCAGGGCTGGCTCCAAATAAAAAAATCAAAGCAACACATCTCTTTTCAAAACAAAGAAAGAATGGGGGAAAAAAAAATCTCATACTCTGAGTACCTTTGATTCCTGGCTGGTAGTGGATGCTGGAGAGGGGGGTTGCTCTGGGCTCTCCACTTCATTCTCTTTCTCCCCACTGTCCACGCTGTCTTCAGTCATGCTGCTCGGAGGAATCATTTTACCTCTCAAACACTGTCACTGTAAGGAAAAAAAGCTACAGACTGTTCTTGCTGTTTTTCATTTAACGCCCTCTTCCTTCTTAGCTCTTCTAGAGCAAATGAACTCCGACTGCTCGGTTTCACTATATTTGCAAGACTAGAATTCTCTGGATTTTCTTTTTTTTTTTCCTCCTCCTCCCCCTCCTTCCTCCCTCCCCTTTCCTATGTAATTCTGCTGTGAGGGAGTAAGTTATCGATGGCTCTGTAGGTCAGTTGTGTGCCTGCTTTTCCCCGATACTCCTCCCCTCCGTAGGAAGCCTGGAGGTGTGGAGCAGAGTCGTGACCGTCAGCCCCACAATCAGAAGGGAGTGAATTGAAGCAGAAAGCCCAAGCCACGCACACACACACACACATACACACACACACGGGGCACTGGAGGGAGGAGTTGTATTTCTAATGCTGTGAATAGCTTTGGAGGAGCATGTGCTGTCATAGTAGTGAAAGAAAGTAATGCGTGCATGCACACACACACACAGACACACAAACACACACAAACACACACACACAAGCAGGCAGTGTATATGAGGTTTTGAAGCATTTTACCTTTTAACAGGCTGGAGAAGACAGAGTTGAAGGGGACTGTTATATTCTTACAAACCTTTTCCTGAAGAAAAAGATGCCCTGAAGAAGGGGTCTAGAAACAGAGGACGAAAATGAATCTTCCTTTTCCTTGTCCCAGGGAAGCTTATTTAAAATTCTAGCTAACCATTGCCTCTAAAGCTCTAACCTTGCCTTACATCCCAAACTTGCTAGCAAACGACAGGACAGAGTCAGGACAGAGTTGCCTGTGGATGCACGTGTTCCTTGCTCCTCTCCCAGGCAGGGAAGCCCAGCTCTGAGCCACGCACATGCAATCTGGGTCATCTGGAGCTCCCACTATCTCACGCATCCTATACCTGTAGGTTGTCATAGTGATAATACTCCATCAGGCAGCAACAGAGCAAAGGCAGCCATTGGGAAGAGCCTGTAGGCTTCCCCCAGTGCTGTAATTCCCGAGGATGCAGCACCCGAAGTCATGGTTAGGTCTGTGGTACTACCAGCAGAAGGTCAGCGTGACTTTGCTGGCTGGCTCAGATTGCTTACGTTGCGTGAGGTTTTGCCTCTGATTTAAATCTGCTGCAAAGGTGCCTGTCAGCTCTCTTCCTTGCTGAATTGAGGTCTGTATTGTGAAAGGTTGAGAGGATCTGCTTTCCACTAAATATGCTTTGCTGAGCAGGAGACATTCCATATGGTTGGTGGAGATGACTCCTTCCTTTAAAGAAAACAGAAAAAATCAACACAAATATGTTTCTAATAGCAATACTCTTATCCTGGAAAGTGGGAAATAAAAGATAATTGCTTCGTTAATCTATACAGGTGTTGTGAGGTCATTTGCTGAGATCTGAGTCAGAAATGAGCTTTAGTGCCTTGTAGCTCTGGGAAGGATACCAGATTCCCATCCAGAACCATCCCTTAGAAAAACAACTGCTACTTTGACCTGTCTTGTAGATCCCCTCCAACTCAAATAATGTGTGTGAAAGTGAAGGCAAGTTTGCAAGATAGTAGGGGCTATACAGATGAAAGCCAGAGCAGAAATTGCCCTGCAGCCTCTGTATTCTTAATAACTATGCAGAAGCCAGGAAAAAAAATAATTCAGCTTTTCTTTGAATACCCAGTAAATTTTCAGGACTGATACTTAGATGTGGAAAAATCTTTATGTTTCTGAAACAGAGCATATAAGATACCAAATTCTTTAGCAAACAATAAAGATGAAATTCTGCAATGCTATTTGTACAGCTACTTCAGAGCAAAAGAGTGTCCTAGGGGTCTGCCAGCAGAACCTATTATTTGGCCTGGAGTCACTAACAGCGTTACAGGGATCAAAATGAGAACACTACTTGCTTATTGAGGCAGTGGCAGTGACAACTGAGATTGAAGCAAGGAAATACAGAGCTCAGAGGGGCAGATTTGGCAGGTAAGTAAAAGAATATATTTCCAAGGGTTTGCTTTCTAAAATACAGAAGTCTTAGAGTGTTCTCCTCAGAGTCAGAGGAATTCTCCTGGAACAAAGCTCATTTCTTCCACTCAGCCAGTGAGATTTGGGCTTTGCTATAAAATCATCTCCTTAACAATTTGCAGGGATTGGTCAGAGTCATAGTTTGGCAGAATTAGGGCAGCTGTGGGCAATGGAGATCTTGGCAGGGCAACAACAACTGAATGCTCCACCTCTGTCAGGGGTATTGTTCCCTGATGGTCCAGCCTAGAAGAGCCAAGCCATGGCCAGGACATGGGGTCTGCCCCCTGTAAGGACTGTTCTGTGTTCCCAGCAATCTGACAGATGAGAATCATGAAACTGCATTCTGTTTGGTCCCCCAGCAGTGTTTTGAACCTGTCTTTCCCATTAAGAAGCTCAAAAACATCTTCTTACGGTGAACTTGTGGGTTACCTTTGAAATGGAACGTGGAGTGGCCGGTGAACAGTTAATGCTCAAAGTGTTGTAAAATCCTGCACACATTGTGTACGAAGAGCTTGTAACGTCATGACTGTGTGACTATAATGCCACTCTTTACTCATTTTTTTAAGTTGTTTTACCAAATTAGTACTGACACCTGCTGCACTCCCTCTCTTCTCCCAATTACTCACTTGTCAACCACGACGGATCTGTCAGTTGCTCGACAATTAGCCTGGGAAAGATGACTCAAACCTAAAATTTTACCAAAAAAGCAAAAAGAAAAAGAAACTGAATTTCTCATATTTTTATTTCCTTCCACAGGAGCTGGCTGTTGAAGATCAAATATTCAGTATAACAAAACAGACTGATCAAATTAGATGAACCTACATCTCTCTCCCACGCTTCACTCCTGAGAAGTTGGACTTGTGATTACTGCTGATCAGTCTCTAAGTGAAGGTACTAGGGGGAACTGTGAGCACTCCAGCACAGGGCTAAACAAGAGGAAATTGAACAGCTTATGTAGTGTAGAGATGAGTGTAGATTTCTGGAGTGGGGAAAAGCAGTTTAGATGAATAAAACATGAATGCCAATTCTCAGCCCCCAGCTGAAATTGTTTCACTCTGTAAAGGCACTTGCATGTTGCTTGGAGTCACTGCCAAGCACTCCACTGCCGGGTGATCTGATGCTGACTGCACAGGTTCCACGCCTTGTTCACCCTCGTTCCCTCCCATTCTCTGGTCCCACACACAAAGGTGATGGTGTGTGGTATAGAGCAGCCCTCTCTGCTGGGGTTCCAGCAGTAGTTCCTGAACTCTGGCTGAAGCCAGCATCATTAGAGCATCCCAGATGCTCCTGACAACAGAAATATATAAATACCCACTTGCTGTACTGCTGTAGAGCTCCACAGTGGCAAGATTAAGCTGATGTAGGGGATCTGACCCATGCCATGTTTTTTACTTACCTTTTTTTTTTTTTTTTTTTTGGCATTCCTCTGAAATATTTGATCACCTTTCTGCCAAAGATGTACATGCATAGGGCTGGATTTCACTAAAGGAAGGATATGAAATCAGTACTTATAAAATATGTTACTCCTGTTTAGGCTCCCACATATTTACTACAGCAAAAATAACAAGCCAAAAGGAAAAAGGAAGACATATAGGTATCACCATTCACTGCTTGGTTCATGTGAGCATGCTCTTGAGCAAAGAGGGTATAGGGGCACATATAGAGGTGATACTGCTGTGAGATGACATTGGTTTAAATTACTATTGTACCACTCTCTAGAAATGTACAAAGTGGTGAGGAATCAGTCTGGTTGCTGCAGCCTGGTTGCCTTCAAAGCAGAATCCTGAAGGAAAGAGGGATTAAGTCTACCAAGAGTCCAACTTCCAAGAGGATGAAGACTGAGAGCCATAGAAAACTATTAGACATGGAGAAAAGGTTGCAGTTCTGCCACTTGCAGTGAAACTTGATCACCCTCACCCCAAGTCTCTCAGCCCAATTTGTGAGTGTTCCAGGTGAGAATTTCTTTGTTGATTAGATTTTGCCATTGTGCAAACTGGCAGTAGGATATGTACTTAGTGTCATCTGTGATGGGACTTTCACTTTTGGTATGGTGCATTTTGCCAGATGTACTGGTGGATGTTTTAATTGGGGTTTTCTCTCAAATATCTGCTTCACTCACAGCTTGCTACTAGACTATAAGGATTATTGCTCTAGTGGAGTACTCTTCTGTGTTTCCAAGTGACACGCATGTGAGCTCTTCTCTCCAGCAAACATTGTACCAACAGAGAAAATTATATTAAAATAGTATCAGGTGGTTGGGTTTTTTTGTTTATAGTCACACATCCCTTGTTTGCTTTCAGTACAATCTTGGCAGTCCATTGAGCAGTTAACACACTAACAAACCCCTGTGGATTCTGCTTATCTAAATGCCATCTAAGGGCTACAGTCATCAGCTCATCAAGCGTCAAGTTGGAAGCACAAGCTTTGAAAGCATTCTCAGTACTAAGGGAATACTGGTGGTTTGCATTTTGACTAAAATTATCTTGAAGTACTTTTTAGAGTTAAAGTATTAGGCCTCCCACTGCTTCAGGGAGTGTAGCAAATGAGTAACCATGGAGGGAGCCAAACCATCAGATTTGTGCTTGTACTTAAGTGGGGAAAAAACCGGAATCTCTGAGTATTAATTGCAAAACTGTCTTTCCTTCCATCGACAGCAATGCCACAGGGAGTGATGCAGAGATCACGCTGCATCTTGGGCAACTTGAATCTGTCTTTCAGAGAGATCATGATGAGATTGAAACACTGCTACACAGACATCTAGACTAGAAAAAAGAAGAATGCTGCATCCTCTTGTGACAGCAAGAAATGTTTGGGAAGGGGAGAAGAGGATGTAATTATAAAACATGGAATTTAGCCAAGATAGAGCATGTAATATGTTCAGTCTTACAAAAAGCATTGCAATACCTTTAAATAACCAGTGACAGTCCTGACCTGATTTTACATCTCTGCTGGCAATAAGATTCCTTCTCACTTTTTATAGGAATGCGATATAAAAAGAAGAGGCCCATAGAACCAGAAGCACCATTTCCTGCTGCTCACAGATGCTCCTAGAAATTCCTGCCTTTTAATAGCCAACTACTGATTTGGTCCAATATAACTGTAACAGGAATGACCAGAATTAGTTCAATGGATTGCTGGAGTGGTGATTTAGCCATGCACTAAATCCTTTCAGGGATCAGCAAATATTTAAAGAGATAATATAGTTATGATAATTAACATAATCTCCTCTACTCTTTCTAGACTCTGCTTTACTCATTTCTGTTTCCTTGGATAGTTGTTAAGAGTCTTCCTTGTGG